CATGCATGCATGCATGTGTGTGCACGTGTGTGCGTTAGTGCAGTGCTCAGAAGTTTCCCCACTAGGAATGACCACCTTCTCTCTTATCTAACCAAAACCATTTTGGGCAAGTTGGGTAAAGTCTATATGCCCCAGTAGTCTTATCTTTAAAGTGAGGATCATAATAGTTACTTCCAAATACTACTGCGAGGATTCAAATTTTTTAAAAATTACATTACACCCAGCAGTATTGCTGTCACATGGAAATTGCTCATGAAGTGAGTGCCCACCTCAGATTGCACTGTTGTCTGATTTCTCCAGCTGGATTCCTGCTGATCTCTTCCTTCTCTAATATTTGGTAGCACTTCATTCTGAATCCCCAAATTGATTATTCAATCATATATTCACTTGCATTATCCTCTTGATTCCCAAACCAGGTTGTAAGAAGGTTAAGAACAGGGGTTATATTTCATACATTATATTTATGCATTAAAATATATACGTTATATTTTCTGGTGTCTCCTACAAAACTAAGCACATAATAATTTTTGACATTGGAGAAGTATAGAAGTGATAAGAAAACCAAGAGGGGCCTAGGACAATGCACTTAGATTTTTTTTTTGAACTATAGTTGGTTTACATTGTTACATTAATTTCTGGTGTACAGCATGGTGATTCAGTTACACATATATATATATATCTCTTTTCATATTCTTTTTCATTATAGATCATTACAAGATATTGAATATAGTTCCCTGTACTATAGATATAGTAGGACCTTGTTTATCTTTTTTGCTTATAGTAGTGTGTATCTGCAAGTCCCTAACTCTTAATTTATCCCCCCTCCCTTACCCCTCTTACCCTCCTGGTAGCCATAAGTTTGTTTTTCATGTCTGTGAGCCTGTTTCTGTTTTCTAAGTAAGCTCACTTGTGTCATATTTTTAGATTCCACATAGAAGTGATATCATATAGTATTTTTTTCTTTTTAAAAATTAAAAAAAATTTAAGGGGAAATAATTTAGTGTTTTTCTTCCTCTTTCTGACTTACTTCACTTAGTGTGACAAACTCCAGGTCCATCCATGTTGCTGCAAATGGCATTACTTTATTCTTTTTAATGGCTGAGTAATACTCCTTTGTATATATATACACCACAACTTCTTTATCTAATCATCTTTCAGTGAGCATTTAGGTTGCTTCCCTGTCCTGGCTATTGTGAATAGTGCTGCTATGAACATTGTGGTGCATATATCTTTCTGAATTAGAGTTCCCCCTAGATGTATGCCTGGGAGTGCGATTGAGAATGCACTTTTGAATGGTGCCTATAGGAAGGATCACCCACCAAGAGGTAAGCAAACACTGGAGCATCCCTGAGTTTACCAGATGGATTTCCAAGCTGGATTCCACTACTGCTTCCCCCTCGACCCTAAAGCTCAGAAAGAGAGCAACCAACCTTCTCCATTCGGAGGAGAGGTGTTCGTCCTCCCACACCAAACATAACTTCTTCTCACCTCTCCCCTCCTTCCCACTGTAGACACTGGATCTCGAGGAGTCATAAAACAAAATGCAGTACATCCTCCCAAATAGACTGGGAGCTCCACACTCCAAAACATTGTTAATGCCCCGCAGACTGCAATTTGTAGTCATTGGGCTGAGGCAGGTGTGGACATTCCGCTGGTCTTGATATTAACAGACCTCGGCAAGCCCTCTCTTTCTCTTCATGAGGACGCCCTGGCCCCCCTCACTTGAATTGGTTGGTGGATTTCCGCTTAATGACTGGAGCTCCTGGGAGGGTGAGTTGAGGAGCTGGAGGGTGACTCTTGGGTGTTGAAAAGCTCTGTAGGAACCTCAGGATGGTACGAGCTCCCCTGCAACACACGTCCATTTGTAGAAGCCCATTTTCTCTCCTTTTCATCCCATTTGTCACCTTAAGATATATCTTGCAAGGAATTATCCAGGGAAATGACGGTTGGAAGCCATTTGCAGAAGCTTCCGTTAGTGGGCACCCTGGGTGGGGACTCATTTTGCCACGAAGGGACTTCACCTGTGTGGGGCTCTCTGGCATCTTAAAGGCATGAGGATGGACTCTTGATTTCCTTTAAGAGGAAGCCAGCTGAACTCTAGCCACCACCGTGTCCTCATTCCCCTCATGTGTTGAAGTTTTCTTTCTTTCAGTCAATCTGATAACTAGCCTTAGCAGATTAGTAAGTACAGCTATTCTGAATATTTCTAGGATGGCTGCCATTGGGGGGGAGGGGCATGAAAAGGAATTGGGCCGAAGTCATTGTTCCTGCCAGAGAAAATCATCCATTGCTCCCATCTCCTCTCTGCTGGAGCTGCGATTAGCTGCGCCACTGAATTCTAAGCCTCTCTTTCAGCAATTATAGTACTTTCTATTATGAGCTTGTGGAGAGTTGGTTTAGGATAAAATGTTTCTTATTTTCTTGCTCCGCAGGAAAATCAAATCTGTTCCTTTGCCCGAAGCAACTGCGCCTCTAAATATGTTCAAGGCATCTGGCCATTGAGATCAATGGCCACACAAACACAATTGGACTACATTTCTCTTATGAGCCAATTACTCCCTCTTGCAAATCTCAGCGGTGTCAGATTAAGGGAGCAACAGCTGGGCAGAGCCATCCATCAAAACAAATCAGTCAGCCCAGAAATAAAGTGCTGGGTGACCTCAAGGGATTTAGAAGAATCTACCTTGTCTCATTCTCTTGCTCAGTATGTAATTCCTGTAAGGGACATGGTGGCATGTCTCACTGTGGCAGACCCTGCTGTGAGTGTGGCCCTGGTCACTTGCTTGGGAGCACACTGCTGCCTTTCAAAGCACACTTCAGTAGTGACAGCTTGGAAAGAAAGGCTATTTCTTAGAGAAGCAATCTCTCAGTGTACTCTGTGTACTACAGAAATAGGAATTGTTCCTGAGTCCAAACTCATTCTGCTTGCCACACGATAGGCCAATAAATTGGGAGGTGAGGTGTTGGGACAAGGAATAATGACTTTATTCGGAAAGCTGGCAGACTGAGAAGATGGGGGACTCATGTCCTGGAGAATGACCTTCCCCAAGTTAGAAATCAGGCTCCTTTTATAGTGAAAGGGGAGAGGGTGTGGTTGGTTGTTGCAAACTTCTTGGTGTTTGGAATTCTTTGTTCTTGGAGCTGTCCACATGGGTCAGATCATGGTGTCCCTGTAAACCTCCAACAAGACAAATGCTATTTTCTATTGTGCAATTTTTTCTCTATATGAATGGAAAAATGTTATACCTGTAAAGTTCAGAGCCTTGAGAATGGGCTGTCCTGTATATTTCAGGCTCACAGCAACTTTCTTTTACAAAAGGAGCAGAACCAGCCCAGGAAACAGAGCACGGGGTTAAAGACAAATAACAGATTTAATATGGAGTCAGATTTGTCCTTTTCTATTACAGAATCATATTTTCTCTTCCAACGATTAGGAAAGACTGTCTTACAGAATTGAAGAGCACTTGCCTGGACACGTGGGCGCCATGGATTTAGTATAAGGATGGCTTAGCACCTGGCCAGATCCCAGCTGCATCCCAGGTCTTGTCTCTAATCTTTCTTCCTGAGTGGTTTGTGAGTTTTGGAAATTTTTGTGAAGATGTCACAGTTTTCTGATTATTTGGCTTATTCACATGTCAGCTCTTAAAGGAATGGAAAGAATTATCTCCCCATTTCTGTATTGGATGCATTCAGCGATGTTTGTATTCCTCACCTAGAATGTCTTATGCATATTTGCATGCCCAGTGCCTGACATTAGAACTCTCATGAGTTGGCCAAAGACAATAATTTAAGGGACTCGAGTAGAGATGAAAGGCTTCATTTGACTGATGTGTGCCAGGGAGCACCTGAAGGCCAGGTGACCCCCCACGCCCACCCCAGTCACAGCAGGGCTGGAGTTCTCTAGGGGGAGGGAAGGCAGGCGGGCATGTCCTGGTGTTTTGAGTCAGGTGAAAGTTTCTATCTTTGACTGCTCTGAAACTTGCCCTTAGAGGTTGTCCTGGTTTTCATGCATCTTGCTCAGGTTTGTGAGGTCCTGTCCTGGTACCTGTTAGAAGCACTTTAAAGCACTGTTTTTGCGAACCTGGCAGTTTGTTGGTTAGTCAAGGTTCACAGGGTAGGAGAAAGATAGGGAGAAGAGTTAGGGCAACATCCACAGAATTCCAAAGAAAAGAGCTACTCGAGAGTATGTTTCCAGTTGTTGTCTAAGTATTCAAGGCAATGGAGAAACTGAGGACCCTCCGTCATGCCCAGTGGAGTCTTTTTACAGAGTAAATACCAAACAAATGAGTGTAGGAAGATATGATGGAAAAGGTCTAAGGCCCATGTCTGAAATGCCTCACATTCTCCTCATTTAACAGGTGTAAAATAATGTGGTCAGACTGCCAGAGCTCAAAAACTGCCCGGTGAGCTGGGCCGAGTAGAGCTCACAGAAATAGGACCCATCTCTAACTTGGTACAGCGGGCATTTAATAGAGGGCATATGTGAGAGCTCAAAAGAGAGAGCAGAGTCTCCGTGCCCCATTCCCATTTCCCCTTCCCCATTCCTGTGCCTTCAGGCTTCAGAAAAAGTGGGTAGAAAGCAATACCGAACCCAGAAATTGCTACTCTCAGAGAAAGAAAGAACAAGCCAGTTCCAGATAAGGTGAGACATATACCAAGGAAAACTCACTTTTTAATGCACCAAAGAATAGAAGGGTGAGACAAAACTCTCCTTGTGGAGTATGAGCAAGATGAGAAAAAAAAAAAAAAGGTCTGGCAATTATGCAGACTTCCCCCTTTCACTAAGTCCAAATTCATTCTGCTCATCACACGACAGGCCAATAAATCAAGAGATGAGGTGTTGGGGCAAGGAATAGAAGTTTATTTAGAAGTTATTCAGACTGAGAGGATGGCAGACTCATGTCCTGGAGAACCATCTTTCCCAAGTCAGAATTCAGGCTTTTTTATACTAAAAAGGGCAGAGGGTGTGGCTGGTTGTTGCAAACTTCTTGGTCTTTGTTCTTGGACTCCTTTGTTGTTGCAGCTGTCCACGTGAGTCAGACCATGGTGTCCCTGTAAACCTCCAACAAAACAAATGTTATTTTCTATTCTGCAACTTGTTATCTTTATATAAGTGGAAAAGTGTTAATGGGCTCTCCTGTCTATTTCAGGCTCTAGGCAACATTCTTTTACAAAAGGTGCAGAGCCGGCAGGACGCAGCCCAGGAAACAGAGCACAGGGTTAAAGTCAAAGGAACAGCTCTAATACGGAATCAGATTTGTTCTTTCCTATTACACCCCCAACACACAACACACACACACACGCACACGCACACGATTGAAAAAGAGAAATGTTACGTTGCATTCAAAATACAGAAGGAGAATCCAGCCTGGAAGAAAATATAATTCTTAAACCAGAAGTATATTTCCCACGAGTGTTTCAGACTACGTGGGAACTTAATAAGAACATAAACTAATTCCAAAAGAAGAGCATAGGGAGGAAAGGGAGCACCACCCACAGAATTCCAAAGAAAAGAGCTACTCAAGAATATGTTCCCAGTTGTCACTTAATTATAAACACAGTAAGTGGACAATCACAAACATAAGAAATGGAGAGTATGCGAGTCCTATAAGCTTCTGGATTAAAAGCATCCCAGTAATAAAATTCAACTACTTGAGAGGTGAATCAAAGTTAAGAATTTAGAAATGGAAAAGCTGTGGTTACTGAGCAAACCCTGATGCTGACTATTTTTCTAAATTTAACTTGACTTTTTTTAATGGCAGTACTGGGAGTTGAACCCAGGACCTCGCACATGGTAAGCACACACTCTTCCACTGATCCACACTCTTCCCTCATCCTGACTATTGAGCTCATTTAATGGCAGAACTAAGATTAAGTAACTGGAAGGGGTGGTCAGACTTGCGCATCAGAACGTGAACGTCGTGAACCCTCTGCAGGTAATACTAAAGCACAGAGCAAATGTTGGGAGGTTGGGACAAGGCAAATCAGAGGAAAGCTTAAGAATACTGGGTGTCTGATCGCTCATAGCAGGTAATCAGCATTGTCTGAAACTGAAACATGTAGTTTAACAAAATGACTCTAACTTTTTAAACGAATTTTGTAGTGTTCTTTCTTCAACATGATGAGATGTTTGAGAAATGCACATCTTGGGAGCAACATCTTCAGATAATCTCTTCACCTGTCTGTCTACCCATCCATCAAACCGTCTTACACATATAGGTAAAGAGAGGCGTCTGGGGGTGGTGTCACCAAATGTTAGCACTGATTATTACCGGGTATTGCAATTTCGAGTAACTCATTCTTTTCTTCTTTCTATTTTTCTTTCTTGCTTGAATGTTTAATAATGACCCAAATGTTTAATTTATGAAAACAATAAAAATATTATTTTGATCAAAAATTAGATGGTCAGATCCTTTTAAGATTCTTGCCATCTCCACTTCATTGACCCAGTTTTTCTTGTTGGTCAGATTTAAACCTCAGGCAGTGGTTCTCCTAACCCACTGTCCTCAATTTCTAGAGACACAAAATCATAAGCCAGACTAGCCAAGGGATTTCACATTTTCTTCTTTTAAATTTAGGAAGTTAAAAGATATGACCATTACCATCCAAGACTGAATTTAAAGGAGAGAGAGGTGAATGGAAAAACGGTGATAAGAAAGAACTTCCATTCTGACTGTGAAGAGCCTGACGTCACTGTGGCAGGACCGGACTCAGCATGAGGTACCAGAAGGACAAGAGGAAAGGCAGAGCCTGGAGCCATGGTAACAGCTAGGCTTCCAACATGGGACCACGTGGGAATGCGCAGCAGGGTCCAGGCAGCATGAGGCTTGAGACGGAGTGTCCATGAAGGAGGAAAGGAAAGAGACAGAGATGTGTTAGGAGGAAGTCCGGGGTGAGGACACAGGGAAGTCCAGTGCAAAAAGGACTTCTGTGCTGTGCTGCAGGCTGCCAGTGGGAGATGAGGTGTGGGAGGTGCCCTGCAGGACTGTAAGTCTAATGCATGTGACCGTATAGGACCAACTAAAGTCTGGGAAAATTTAGTCAACATGAGGTCGCTGGAAACTTAACGAAAACCTTTCATGACCACAGATTTACTCCGAGGCAACGTGCGTGGGTGAGGGTTATATTTTATTCACCTCAATTGGCATTGCAAGTAATGAATGTAAAACCCGGTCCTGGGCTGTTCGCCCCGGGAAGGGGCACGGAGCGGGGGTACTTGCGCCAGCCACCACAACCACCACCTCAACTAAAGAAGCCCGGGGTCTAATCTTGATCCGCTGCGATAAAGAGAATTCAGAGGAGGAAGAAGACAGGGAAAGACCTTAATCAATTGGAGTTTAACCTTTGGTTTGACACATTTTATCTTGTGGTCACAGCTGCGAGGCCGAGGCTGCTTTATTTTAAAAGTCGTGTTGATGACTTATCAGAAGCACTTGTGTCTGGGAGAGCTTGCGGGTGAGAGGGTTCTCCAGAGTAACTTCTGTTCTACTTAGCACTTATATAGCATCAGGGAGCTCTGCTGAGTTATTAATACATACCTGGTGCTTTCAAAGCAATTTACAATCTTTCTGGACAGCATCCTTATCCAAGGGGCTGGGGGGCTGGGGGTGTGGTCAAGGAATCAGATGGCTTGAGCATCTATTTGCTGCTCCTGCTGAGGGTGGGCCCTTGGCTCAGAAATCAGCTTCCTCAGTGTCCCAGTCCTCATCCACGAAGGACAGCCCTCCTGTCCTCTGTGCTCCCTCTGTGACACAGGCCACTTCCTGCACAAAATGCGGGGAACACCCACAGATACCCATTGTGTGGCCCTAGACAAAGCAGAGGGATGTATTTTGCTCCCCTCTGTCGCTGACCTTCCTGATGAGACCCCTCCTCACCCTCGCTCTGACCAGGACACTCAGGGACTTTGTGGGCTCCCATGATTTCCCAGAATCCCTTGCTGAGCTTCCCTGCACAGAGGGCAGCAGCCCCTTCCCCCAGGATGGCTGGCTGGGCCCTCTTCCCTTCTCTGGACGGTGGCCCACAGTCTAGAACTGGAGATGGACGGTGCTCAGTTCCTTGGGAGAGCAGCTGCGGGTGGGGACCGCCAGCAGCTGGACCTGCAGGAGGGCTGGCCTCCCTCACCTCAAGCTCTGCCTCCAGGCTGAGGAAGGAGCAGACAGGGAGGGGGTGCCCCTGGGGAACGTGTAGGGTTCCATGTAAGAGGCAATCCTCTTTTTTCCACCGAGCCAAGTGAGGCGCCTCTCAGGGAATTATTTCTCCAGGCTGGAGCTTCTTGTCAGAAGGGCGATGACTTGGGAGATGCAGGAGCAGGAGTCATCCCCACCACTAGGGGGTGCTCTCCAAGGAGCCCACAGCAGTGGCCACTGCCACACGGGGCTTCCCTCAGGTGTGTAAGCCCCAGGAGCAAGGGCTGCCCGGAGAGGAAGCATAGGAACATCTGGTCAAATAGAGACACTTTCCTTTCCTTCACCCTTCTCCACTCTGCAACCATGCATCCTGCCCTCTTTCACCTTCTGCTTCTGGATCTGAGGCGGGAAGCCCCATAAAAAGACCGGCAGGACCCCAAGGCAGGGCTGCTGCTCTCCTCCCAGCACCCTCCGGTTCCCTGGCCCAGAGGCTCTATCTCACTTTTTGTCTCTAAAGCGGCTAACTTACACCTAAAATTCTATTGGTTCCCTGAGCTCATTTCTGATTGGTTATTTCCTTCACTCCTGATTGGTTACTACTCTCACTTCTGATTGGTCCACTTCCCTAACTTCTGATTGGTCCATTTGTAGTACTTCATTTGCATGAAGCTCACTTCTGATTGGTCTATTTCTACAAAGCTTGTTTCTGGTTGGTCAACTTCTGTTATACCTTATTTGCATATGGTGTTGCAAAGTAAAAGTGGCAGCCTATAAAAGGCCTGTGTAAGCCTGCAGACAGGGTTTACAGCTTGGAGTATTAACTCTTTTGGGCCTGCTGGTATAATAAGCCTGAGTTCTCCAATCCTCCGAGTGCTGCTTGGTCTCTTGCCTGGGTCTAGGCTGCTGTCACAGCTGAGGTGTAATAGCGAGCTGTAACACATTTTCCCACAACATTTCTAAAGTCGAGGGTTAAGAATATATACATTTGGGACAGTTTGTCTAGATCCTAATGTGACAGTAAGTCTCGTTTAACTGTAAGTTTTAATATCTATATAATGTATGCCTTAAAATTATCTGGTTTTGGCATTTGAAAAGTAACTTTATATTGTTTCATATCTCATTGCAAAATAATGCATATTTTCCATACATTTAAATAAATGTTATTGTGATAAGCACACTTAACAAATCTACTCTCTTAAACAAATATGTTTTTTAAAAAGCTAGATATGAATTGAAATCTCACCACTGAGAAATAGCCGTGATTAAGCTTTGGAGTAGTAGCTTTCCTAGCTTTATTGCAAGCATCTGCGTGTTCATGTGCACGCCCGTGTGCGTGCGTGTGTGTTTACAGAGATGGGGCTATGTTGTGCTGTACCCTGCTCTTCTGTCATAGGGAGAACCCTTCCCATGGAATTCTCCTGTGGCTGGGTTATTGGAGGCATGGTATTTTGTGTTGACATCTCACAGATGGGGAAACCCACTAGAAAAGGCCTCTTTCTTTCCCTAACAGGGTGGCTGTTTCTTGAAGTTAGTTTGTGAAAGTTTTTCTTCGGAGACCTCAAGTCATAGCATCTATAAGCCTGAAATCCTAGTCTCTCACGGCCCTTCAGTGAACCCAGCACGTAAAAGGAGCGGGTCAGGGCAGCAGGAACGGGACCAGCCTGGGAAGGTAGGACCTTGAAACCAAGGCGAGAATGGAAAAGGTCAAAAGCAAGTCTGGGGTCTCTGAGGGGCTGCTTGAGCTCTTCAGGAAGGCCGAGTGTGAGGCCAGTGACAAGAAGGCTATGGGTCACACCAGGCAGAGGCTCTGCCATCCACACTCGCTCGATAAACTCTGAGTTCCTGCTATATGCCAGGCATTGTCTACACTGATGACAGAAAGATGGGCAAAGTCACACCAGTCTCCACAAAAGCAAGACTCCAGGGATGAGCGTTCATTACAACATAATAAATTTCATCAAAGAAGTTTGGATACAGTGCTGCAGGAGGACGGAGTACCACAGGGAGTGTGGGAGCCTCAGATGGGGTGACACCGAGCGGTGCTGGGGTGTGGGTGGCAGATGAGGGGACGGTGTGTGCAGTGGGGGTCATTGTTGGGAATGGGTGGTGGGCACGGCCAGCAGCTTGGGGTGGCGGGTCTCAGTGTTTGGGGGGAGAGGGAGGAAGCTGCAAAAATCAGATTTGTTCCTGTCCTTTCAGAATTCGCTCTAAATAACTGGACAGATGTGGGCTTTGTAGTGAGGCTTGTTAAAGCTTAATTGTTTAGCTCGGGTATGTGCGAGCTATGTGATTCCAGCAAATCCCCACTGCTGAATTCTCATTGCCCAACTGTAAAAGCACGTGCGGGACCTAACTCTCCAGGCTGTGCTGAGGACCAAATGGGAAAACCAGAGTGACAGCACTGGGCACTGTGGCCCGGGAAGCTCTGGCACTCTTCCTCCCCTCCTGAAACCAGCTCTCACAGAAAACATGCCTGCTGGGTGCCGGGTGGAGGCGCCACACCTGAGTTCCAAGGGCATCACTGTGTTGTCTCTGCCAACACCTGGAGTCTGTGAAAGCTGGGTCAGGAGGAGTGTGTCCGGGCCTGGCGAGGTCTGGAGCAGAGAGCTTCACCACCTCCAGATTTACGTTCAAGCGAGGCCCCCTCCTGAAAGCTGCCCCGCACATCCTGTGGGGTCAGAACACTGCGAGCAACTGGGAAAGGGTTAACAGAGGACTCCAGCCCTCGGCCTGTTGGCCTCCCCTGCGACAGTGGCCCATAGAACTGGTGCCCCCATCTGCCTCTCACAGAGCGCCTCTGTCCGAGTGTCATGGCAGAGTAGTGTCTCCCCAGATTCATATGCCACCCTGCTAACCGAGTGGGACGGGACTGGGAGACACGGCTGTTAGAGACGGGACGACGTTAAAATGGGGCTATTAGAGTGGATCCTGATCCAATGTGACTGACGTCCTCGTAAGAGGAGATGAGGACCCAGACCCACACAGAGGGAGGACGGTGTGGGGACACACAGAGAAGACGGCCGTGAATAAGCCACAGAGAGAGGCCCCAGACGGAACCGGCCCTGCCTGTTCCTGGCTTCCAGGTCTCCACTCTACCAAACTGGGAGACAATCACTGTTTGTCCTGGAAGCCCCAGTGTGTGGTACTTCGTTACAGCAGTTCCGGGAAACACAGGGGCAGAGTCTGACCATCTCTGCCCCTGCGTTTCCCTTCTCTCAGTCAGCAAACCTCAAGCCCAGCACATCGCCCCACCCGCTGGCAGCCACCGTGGTGCGCCTGTGGCTCTGCAGCAGAGGGTGGAGGGTGGCCTGTGTTCTTAGGAAGGTAAGAGCACCCTTTCCTGCTCGTGCCAACCCCCATGGATGGCCCCTCCGGCCCCGGTGCCTGGCTTCCAACCCCACAGCTCTCCCCCCCCCGAAGCCCTGCCATTTGTGGGCTCTGTGCTTTCTGCTGCTTCACGCATATGGGTCTCACGGCCTCAGTTAGAGGGGCTCTCGTCTGGCCAGAGGAGGTGGCAGCCGGGGAAGGCTCTGCCGTCAGGGAAGGCTGGTTCTTCGATTTTTTTAATTGAAGTACAGTTGGTTGCCATGTTGTGTTAATTTCTGGTGTACAGCATAGTGATTCAGCTATATGTGTGTGTGTGTGGGTGTGTATGTGTGTATGTATGTTCCTTTTCATGTTCTCTTCTATTTATATGTTACTACAAGAAATTTATATAGTTCCCTGTGCTATACAGTAGGTCCTTGTTGTTTACCTATTTTATATACAGTAATGTGTATCTGTTAATCCCAAAGCCCTAATCTATCCTTCCCCACCCGTCCTCCCTAGTAGCCACAGTTTGTTTTTTATGTCTGTGAGTCTATTTCTGGTTTGTAAATAAAATTTGTATTTTTTTAAGATTCCACATATAAGTGATATTTTATGGTATCTTTCTCTGTCTGACTTACTTCACTTAATATGATCATCTCCAGGTCCATCCATGTTGCTGCAAATGGCATTACTTCTTTTTTATGACTGAATAATATTCCACTGTGTATATATATCTTCTTTATCCAGTCATCTGTCAATGGACATTTAGGTTGCTTCCATGTCTTGGCTATTGTAAATAGTGCTGCTATGAACACTGGGGTGCATGTATCTTTTTGAGTTAGATACACAGAAAACTGGTTTGAATCTTAGCTCCAACTTCCAGTGGGGTCCCCCTGAGCTTGGGCTTCCTCACTTGCAGGGATACGATGAAGGCATTCTTAGCCAGCTTCACTGAGCGGGCCAGCCAGACCAACCTCATCCTGGAATCCCTGCTCCGCTCTTGGTCCGTAGTGGGGTAGCCCATTATTCCACGCCGCACCTCCCAGTGCCACCATCGGAACCACACCTAGGCTGCCTGGCCCTGTGGCTCTGCCTCTGTCGCAGGTGCCTGGCCTACTGCAATCTGTGGTCCAGTTCAGGGCCCCAACCCGTCCAGGCTGTGCCTTCACACCGTGCAGTTACCGACTTACGTCCAGCCACCAGGTCCCACGAGAGCACAGGGATGATGAGGCCTTACCTGCACGGGCTTGTCCCTGTGCTGCTGCTGGGGGTGACTTCCATCCTTCCACAAACACCCATTTTTGTGGGGCTGAGCAGAGCCACTCTGCCTCTGTGACTCACAGAGTGCTGACAGCCACCACCTGCCTACAAACGACAAATAAAAGGGGAGAAACACTGCCTATACAGGGCTATTGAACACCAAACCTTCCTTCTCTGCTGAACAAGAGTATGCGTTGAAACAGGAAAAGTTTAAAAAAAAATTAAAAAAGAAAAAAAGAAATAGGGAAAGTTGGTGAAATTACATCACTTAAAATATAGGGAAGGCGTATTGGTTAAACACGAAATCTCTACGTTCAAAGGGATCGATTGTAACTTCTTTCATTTGAATTCAGACATCTTTCCCAACTAGTGATGAACTTTTTCTCGAATAATCTATGACAGTCTCCTGCTGTGAGAAGCTAAAATGGCAACTTTTTCATGGCCAGTCAAGGAGTGGCACCGAGCTGTCTGCACATCTGGAGAGAATAGCCCTCCAAGGAGGTCACCTGGATGGCCTTTACCTGGAGCATCATCAGTGGTCCAGGAGCCAGGAGTTTTGGTAATGTGGCATTAAACTAATCTTTCCTTCTCAACCCTTCTCTCTGTCACAATTTACTATTGAATTCAGAAGCCCAGTTCCCTTTAGAAAGTGGTACTTGGTGCCCTTTTCTGAGGCACGTGGAGTCTGCCCTTCCAGCTGGGGGTGGACCACAAGGAGAATCTCTGAAAAGCCAGAACCTGAACCTTTGCTGAGGAGGATGGGACAGGGAGGCTCCGACGGTGACGTGGCCCAGCAGTGTGAACCCAGCGCATCTTTGGAAGGCCCCCTCCTGCAGCCCCAGCCAGCACTGTGGGAAAAGGGTTTCAGCTCTGGCACCTCTTTTAGAGCAGGCAGGTAGCTAGATACGAGC